CATCGCTGCTGCATGAACATCCTCACATAGAAGCAGCAGCACCGCTTGTGGAGGTCGGCCAGGCGGCAGGTCCTGATCTAAGCTTTGTCTTATTTCATCTTCACAACAAGCTACCAGGCAGGCACTGTTGTTGTCTCCATTGTGCGAATGAAGAAGTCGAGGCACCAAGAGCTCAGTGGGGGCACCCTCACCAGACCCTGAGAGGTGAGCAGGGCGAGGGATGGCTTCAGTCGCACGGCCGAGAAAACCAAGGGCCAGAAGGGGCAAGAGTCATGCCCAGGGCACAGGGAGAGGAGTGGCAGGGTGGGCCCAGGGCTCAAGCCTCAGAGCTGCCCCGGCTGCTTCCTCTTTCCCCCGCCCTGGCCACTCCGAGTTGGTTTTGTCCTGACGGGTCCCTGTCCTGGCCGTGGGTCGCCCCCATCCCATGTCCCCCACAGCTTTCCCATGACGTTCTCACCCACTGGACCCAGGTACCCGTCCACAGCCTCCAGAGCCTCACATGTCCTGTCAGACCAGGCTGTCACCGTCCGGTCTTCCGTGAGGATATCATTTCTCACCCCTCGCCCAGCCAGGCAACGTTTTGTGGCTCACATTTTTAAAAAATATATATTTTTATTGACTTCAGAGAGGAAGGGAGAGGGAGAGAGGGATAGAAGCATCAATGATGAGAGAGAAGCATTGATCAGCTGCCTCCTGCACGCCCCGAACTGGGGATCGAGCCCACAACCCACGCATGTGCCCTGACCAGGAATCGAACCTCAACCTCCTGGTTCATAGGTCAATGCTCAACCACTGAGACATGCCAGCTGGGCTCAATATTTCTTTTTTCTTTTCTTTCTTCTTCTTTTTTTTGCTGGCTGCTTCTCAGTTATTTTTCACTTGGTGCAAGGCACATGGGTGTGGGGTGTTAGGCAGGCTTGCGTGTGGCTTGGGTAGTAAAAAGTGGGGCTCTCTCAACTTCCTTTTTGGTGTGTTGCTGTTTTGATATAAAAGAACCCAACTGCTTCTGCTTGCTGCAGCCGGCCTAGTCTAGCGAGGTGGGGTGAGGAGAGGGAAGGGGATGGAGGAGGCGGGGAGGGGCTCAAACAGCCTAGCTCCTCTGGAAGTCTGGTGGCTGGTGGCTGGTGGTGGCCACTCAGGATGGGGGCCCGGCGTTGACTTTGCCAGGCTGGCCGCCAGGCTGCTTCCCTGTGGCTTCCTGAGCCAGGTCACAGGTGGTCATGCTGCTGGAGGCCAGGGGAGATTCCGAGAGCCCTGGGGACTCCGACACTGTGGCCATGAATGGAGAGCGGGCTTCCCCCAAAAGAAGCTTGCCCACCAATGACCTGGGTCAGCTTTGGGGAGACCCGGGTAGTGGGGGATGGCTTTCCCAGGGTACTCGGCACTTCCACGGGAGCTGGTACTGGAAGTGGAGCCCAGGCGGTGCCGCTAGTAGTCGTGGTGGCACGAGTGAGCCGCTGGGGGGGATGCTGCTGTGCTCTCGCTTGTGGGCTGGTGGGAACCTCGGCTGCGAACCCTCTCGGACCTCGAGATCATGGTGGCTGGAACGAGGGGGGTGGGGGTGGAGGGAGCGCTAGGCCAGGGAGCCCATTTGCAGAGGAGACCGCGGGAGCCCACACCACGACCGAGACACATGGACTCAATATTTCTTAATAGTGAAAACCAAAGACAAACGTAATGCAAGGAGAATAGAGGAAAGTGTAAAGAAAAACCCGCCGTCTCTCGGAACCACAGTTCACTTGTCATAACTAAGAGATTACACTCCTGCACTGTTAACCAGACTCCAAACTTTATTTAAATTTCACCAGTTTTCCACTGACTTATTTTTTTTTAATTTTTATTTTTTTTGGCCCCAGGATCCAGGATAGCACATTGCATTTAGCCTTTTAAAATGCTCTGAAGTTTTTGGATTCTTTCATTGGCTTCCTTTTCGTTATCTAGGAATCTGAAAAGTTCGGAGGACCTAAGAAACACCTGTGACCCCCTCCCGTGATGTCCTGCTTGGTCCCCCTCCCCTGGCTTCCAGAAACCCCCTTGTTCCTGGCTTCTGAGGCCCTCCCTTCTTGCTTTGAGCCTGGCCGTGGACGTAAACACATTTAGGAGGCTGTTCGCCAAGACGGCTGTGTGTAGGACGCTTCCTTCATGCAGTGGTACCTGGGCCTCCGGGGGCAGGGAGAGCCGGGGAGGTGTCCTGGGCCAGGGAAGAACGCTTAGCAGCTGAGCAGCGGGACCCAGCGAGGCTGAGCAGAGGGGCTGTGGGGGTGAAGTTGCTGCAGATCAGGCCAGGAGGTAGGTTGAGACTGTGTCATAGACGCTCAAAGGCCAGAAGGAGGCAGTAGCAGCTACAGAAGGCTCTGGGATGGGGTGGGAGGAGATGCCATCGTTGGAGCTGGTGTGGGAGGCTGCATTGGGGGCGGGCATTAAATGGAGCCCCTACTGAAATGGCAGAGGGTGGGAGTGGCCCTCAGGGGTCAGCTGGGCCCACCCCTTCACTGCAGAGAGGAAGCCCCAGAGGCTGAGAACCAGAGGGACACTGGGTCAAGGTCACGTGCCACATTCATAAGAGTCAATAGTTTCTACGCCTTCAGCACTTAAAAAAAAATTAATTTCAGAGAGGAAGGGAGAGAGAGAGATAGAAACATCAATGATGAGAGAGACACATCGATTGGTTGCCTCCTGCACGTGTTCTGACCAGGGCTGGGGATCGAGCCTGCAGCCCAGATACATGCCCTTGACCAGAATCGAACCCGGGACCCTTCAGTCTACAGGCTGATGCTCTATCCACTGA